TCTCAAATTGAACCTACAACCATTTCCGAAGCAATAAACGATGAACATTGGACCTTGGCTATGCAAGAGGAGCTAAACCAATTCAAACGGAATGACGTTTGGGAATTGGTGCCAAGGCCCGATGATCGTACGATTATTGGTACGAAATGGGTGTTCCGTAACAAACTTGATGAAAATGGAATAATCACTAGAAACAAAGCTAGGCTTGTAGCTAAAGGCTACAATCAAGAAGAAGGCATTGATTTTGAAGAAACCTATGCACCTGTAGCACGTTTAGAAGCTATTCGTTTACTTCTTGCTTTTGCCTCGTCTATGGATTTTAAACTCTATCAAATGGATGTTAAGAGTGCCTTCCTCAATGGTTTTATTCAAGAGGAAGTGTATTTTGACCAGCCCCCGGGGTTTGAAGACTTTGAGTTTCCCGACCATGTCTTCAAACTCAAGAAAGCGCTCTACGGTCTTTAACAAGCACCCTGTGCTTGGTACGAACATTTGAGCAAATTTCTTTTGGATAGTGGTTTCCAAAGGGGAAAGGTTGACACCACACTTTTTATCAAGAGTAAAAACAATAACATCCTTTTGGTTCAAGTTTATGTAGACGATATTATATTCGGTGCTACTAACGAGTCTCTGTGCAAGGAATTCTCAACGCTAATGACAAGCGAATTTGAAATGTCCATGATGGGTGAGCTTACATTCTTTTTGGGACTCCAAGTCAAGCAAATGGAAGATGGCACGTTCATTTGCCAAACCAAATATTGCAAGGAGCTCCTAAAACGATTCGAAATGGACAATGCCAAAGCCATGGCGACCCCGATGAGAACGTCCGACCATCTAGACAAAGACGAAAAGGAATTCTTCATCATGGGAAAAGATAAGAGCACGGCAGGAGCTTCCGGCAAACCCAAAGCCAAATCCCGGGCGCCTACGACATCCTCCGAGGAACGCCTCTACTACGGCGATGGGTCGTACCTCTGGTTCGATTCCGAGGAGGAGCGCACTCGTTTTCTCACCTTCTTCTCTAAACGGGTTGTGGCTCCCCCACGGACCATCCCGGAGCGCTACCCGGAGTTGCAGGGCTACGACGACCTCGACGCACGAAAGGAGATTAACCCGGCGCTGATCCGGGCCTTCTACTCCAACCTTCACAACTCCTACTCTTTCATTGCAAATCATTCATCCTTTATTCATAGCTTTTTGAGAGCCATTTTTGTGAAGCTTGTGTTGTGTTCTTGAGCGTTCTTAGTTACTCAATTATCCACTCTAAAAGAGAGTATTGTTCTTGAGTGTTTTTAGTGTTCTTAGACACTTGACAAGAGAAAGTATTTCTCTTGTTGTTCGAAGGAAGAGTTGTTTCCTTCGAAGGTTCGTTGAGGTTCGTGTGACTCGAATTCTCAAGTTGTACGGGTTTGTTAAGCACCGTTAAGCTTAACGAGATAGTAGTGTAGCTCGAGAGAGTCTCTCAGGAGGCTGGATTAGCCACAAGCTGTGGTGAACCAGGGTAAAATCGGTGTGCCTCTTTCTTTTCTCTTTACTTCTCGTTTATTCATTTTTTATTCCTACGATTTCTTGATCAAACGCTATTCACCCCCCCTCTAGCATTGGTCTATTATTCTAACATACTTCCGTTATTATTAATTACTATTCACGTATTATCTTTCAATATTATAAGGCCCGAATACCTATATTTGGACCTGGACCGATCTACAGTCCCTGGGAAAATATTGTGTATCCATCAGTAGGTAAGAACATATTTTATTGCTTGTATTTTTTGGATTTTAAAGTATATATAAATTAAATATTTTTAAACTGAGAGCAATATTTGGTTTGCAAAACTCGCATATTAAACGTTTAATTGATTTTAAAAATGTATACGATTAGGATAGTGTGACGATTTTAAGGAGCATGCTTCTAATTTTTCTGAGTAAACATTTACAAAAGAGCAAGGAGACTTTTGTTCACATCTTCATGAGTAGGATTAGAAACATTAAGTATCTTACTGGGTATAGTTGTATAAAATCTTTTAAACAAGTTTACAAGGTTACAAAACAAATATAATTTGAAAGTAACTTTAAGCCAAAATGAAATTAAACAAGCATTAAGGAGAATTATACTATATATATATATATATATATATATATATATATTTAATAAAAAGGAGGTTTCATTAAGATAGAAGAAAAAAACGAGGAGATACAAGATAGAGAAGGCCTA